TGTTAGAGTTCTGTTGGTTCGCCTCATGCTTTTTTATTTAGTGTGGAGGGAATTTGGGCTTAACTTAAAAGGAAATCACTTGCAAAGCAATGTGTATGAAGAGTCCTTACGCATTTTTCCCTGAAGTCTTGTAAATGTCTGGCCCACATTGAATTTAACAGCCTTATGTTTTTTAGCAATTGATTTTATCAAGTCATCCCAAAACATTCAACCTAAAAGTTTTCATAGAAACCAACTCTTTTTCACACTAGTTTCAAAGTTGACATAATATTTAACCGTAATTACAATAATAAGACCAACTGGAATAACCAGATTTGGGAACAAACAACTGACAGTTGGCAAGATGTCTGGGTGGGAGCCAAAGGGGACAGAGACACACCCCAGAGTTGCCCCCTGGCCAGGAGCTTCATGCTGGAGTGTCAGCCAGGATGTCCTGCGACCAACAGGGCAAGCAGGTTGGGTGGGTAGAAGGCGAAGCGCTGCTAAAGTAATCCTGGGGAAACTTGGGCCCGTAATGTCAGAAGGATTAGAACAACTCAGCCAGAATTCAGACCAAAAGTCAGGAATGTGAGTTCTCACACCATCACGATCAAGGGCAAACCAACAGATTAAAAATACTCCAGGTCAGCCTTTACCATGGGTTTTCATGGACTAGGCTTAATATGACTTTCCCATGTCTCCTTCGAAAGGAAAAAAAAAAACAAAACAGTTTCATTTTGAATGTAACAGACACGAGTCATACACTCCAAAAGATTTTCTCATTCTGAAGAAAGTAAGTTTAAATAACCTTTGGAGCAGGGTATATATTAACACCAGAATTATTTCCAAGGCACTTGGAAGTGAGTCAATATTCGTCAGCCCAGCAACAGGGGCTGGTTCAACCTACTATGAGGGAAAACAGTCACTTTACACTCTAAATACCAAATACTTCTATTTGGGTCAGTGGCTATGGGGGACACACAAGCCAGATATCAGCTTGCAACAAGATAATATCTCGGTTATTAACAACCCAAGTTAGATTGTTTTTGGACATTATCTTTCCTTTCAAATTTCAGTGACACCCTTTGGACTTGATTTTATTTTCCTTCCATACTGTCTCCATGCTGTGACAGTTGCTAAATTGCCTCTGCTCCACCCTTGTGTGACAAGACTGCAAGGTTTTCCACTACCAGAAACAAGTAAAGCCATGGGAACAGCCCCCTAAAAAATACAGCAATTAAATAACTTGGGCAAGTTCCACCCCCAAATGTAAATTAACCTGATTGAAGAATCTATGTAAAACAGGGGGCAAAAATTTAAAAACAAAAAAAATCTCAAAAATCCAACCACTATATTTTGGTGTTCTTTCTTCTTTTTCTTCAACAACTTTACATAATTGTAATTATAGTAAATCCTGCTTCTGAACCTTATAATGCAAACTTTTTCCAATTTTTAAAAGTCAGACCACACTTTTGAGTCAGCAAATTAAATGCTTAAAACTTAGAGCCTAGTGTTACAAGTTTTGCTGAGCTGTCCTAGAAACTGAACTGGTCATTTATTTTCAAGCTAACTGCATGAATCATTACCTTCATGTGGCAGAGATTTTTCTCTTACTTCAAAATGACACCTGCTATAAAGCAAAGATAAAATAGTTGTGAAGCCTGGCTATCCTGATTATCTCCCTAGGAACAACCAACCAGTGAAGTTATGAAAATGGCAGAAAATATCCACAGAGCAAAACATGCAACTGGTTTTATTGTCCAAGTGGATTGGGGCTTTCGAAGGCAAATGTGTTCAGTTATTTAAGGTATTGTAGTGGGAGTCATGCCCAACACAATTAAGACAGGATTACACTGCAATTTATGAGCTTCTCAAGGATATCATTTATTATGAAATATAACAATCATTTCCCTCAAAGCCTCCCATCTACAATCTCACTCCCAAACTCTGCTTTGCTTAGGCAATAAACTAAATGGCAACTCAGCAGGCATCTATGGCTTTTGAGACCAGTTGTAGAAAATGTGCTGCTTTCTACCAACTCAAGTAATAATGCCATCTTACTAAAAAAGAAGCACACCACTTTACCTCTTTCACGCACAGGATCTTTCCAGTAACTTAGGTCTAAGTGGCAATGGCAGGTATTACTTATTCCATCTTACAAAGAATAAAACAGACTCAAATGTGAGCCTCTGTTCTCCAGTTCAGAAGAATCAGACCCAGAGCACCTTGAGACTTAAGGAGTCCCGCGCTCCTCTCAGTACAAGTATCAATGACAGGTCTTCCTTCTGTCCGGCCCCCCAAAAACTCACTCAGCAGACAAACAGCTGGCACAGCAAAGGAAAGTTCCCCCATCACGGTGCCGCAAGGCTTCCAGAAAGTTTAACAGTTGCTGCTGTGCAGCATCACCCAGAAAGGTAGCCCGCCTCATCCTGCCAAGACACCCCCAACACGACTGAAAGTGACTGAATCCACAACCCGGTGCCCCAACAAAGCAACGCTTTCCCTGAAAGCAGTTTCATTCCTTTCCATCAGCACTGGTGACGGGACACAAGGACCACAGTAGTAAGGTAACAAACGCCTCAGGAGACCTGACACATAGGAAGCGAAAACATTCCTGCAGAAAGGAGGCGCCTGCTCCCCACGCCCAGACTGGCATCAGAACAAGGTCCGGTGGCATTCGTTTGTGGACCAAAGGCTTCCTGGCGCTCACCTGGTGGGAAGCGCGGCGCTTCGGGGTGGAAGGCAGAGGCCGAGCGCATCCTCCGCAGCCTCCGCAGCCTCCGCAGCCT